CGCTTTCTGTCTCTATGTCTCTCTCTGTCTGTCTGGCAAGCGCACGCACCCTATAGCGAAAAAAAAAAAACCTCTCCAAAAAAAATTTTGACCAGAGAGAAAGAGAGAGAGACAGTGAGAGAGAGAGAGAGAGAAAGGGAAAGCGAGAAGGCAAGTGGCCAGGTCTGGACTCTAACCCGCAGTTGGCCACGTAGGAATCCAGTGCCTTTAATCACTATGCCACCTGCCGGCCCCACCACCTTGGGGTTTTTAAGTTGCCTCCTGAAAAGGCGGGTCAGGACCACCCCACATGTGACCCTTTGCCTGCCCTCTCAGCCATGCTGCGGACGGTCTCGGCGGTGCTCCAGTTCGGCAACGTTGTCCTGAAGAGGGAGCGGAACACCGATCAAGCCACCATGCCCGACAACACAGGTACTGCCGCCCCACGGGCTCACCCCAACCCCTGGCCCGCCCTGCCCCCGCCCCAGCCCACGCTGACTCCTGCCCTTTGCTGAGTGCATGCCAAAATAACGTCCGCCGTGCTTTTCCTGATTCTCTTTATTTTTAACGTTTTTATAAAGTTTTAATGTGTTCTATGTGTCTTATGTGAGAGGAAGCGACAGCGCCCCCCACAGGGTACCAACGCTGTCCTCCGCCGTCAGCAGCTCTAGACGGCGGGCACACGTGTGCTGGTACATTCAGGGGTCTCCAAACGGGAGTCCACGACCGCCCCACGGGGGCGAGCCTGCGGGCATCGCAGTTACCACCGCACATCGGCGCTCTCCCTGCCTCTGAAGAGCGCCAGCACTGCCGAGGGCGGCAGGTACCGCACCGAGGGCGAGCGCGCCCCACCATGCAGCCCTCCAGGACTGCAGCAGCACTCTGTCTGCTCTCCCAGCCTCGGGCTCTACCTAAATATGCTCTTTTTGCCTTTCCAAGGTGGAATTATAGCCAGTATTCCTTTTTAAAATCCGCAGTGGAAATAGTCATGCTTCTTTATTGTTATGACGTAGTCCAGGCTTACGGGGGATGCTGGCGAGGCAGAGTGAGGAAGGGAGAAGATGGCCGCTCATCTCCCAGGGGGCCTCGGCACACGCAGGCCTTCTCCAGGCTCGGCTCTGCGCCCATGTTGTGTGGCTGTAAGTTGTCACGGGAACAGAATCGTGGCACATGCCCTTCCTTGGAGGTAGGAAGAGCTTTATGTCCTGATCAGAAAGTCCTATGGGCTCATTTCATTCTAAGTGTTTTTTATTTATTTCTTCTGAATGAGACAGAGAGATTGCGGGAGAGGGAGAGGCAGGAGGCACCCTCAGCAGTTTCATGCCACGATCCTTCCCCTAGCCAGGATCACGGGCACATGTGTGAGCATCCAGCACATACGTGTCAACCCGGGACCAGACCTCAGTCTTCCACGTGGACCCGGCATCGCAGGGCAGCTCGTTACCAGTGAGCCACCATGGCTGGCCCTCGGGACCCGTCTTTGTCCGTACTGCTGTTTCCCATATAATGGCCGTCACCGTGAGAATTAGAGGCAGCACCAGCCTCAGTGGCACAGCCGTCATCAAGGCACTGCCATGCCAGACCCACAGGGTGGCGTTCTGGGCTGGTGTCCGACTCCCCATGTGTATGCCAGGCCGGCACGCACGTGCCTGGGAGCTGCCAGCCCAGGCTGGGGCAGGATCGTGTTGGGACGGCTCTGTTGGGATGCCTCTCTCTCTGTTTCTCTGGGGAAGAAATAAGTAAAAAAAAAAAAAAAAAAGAATTAGGAATTACCGTTGCACATCTACACAGGAGAAGAGAGCGCACTCCCGCCCCTCCCCTTTCAGAAGCGTTCCGGACACACGGTGCTGTACTCCCTTCCAGGCGTGTTTCTTTCCTGCTTTTCTGCTGGAGCTACTTGTAGCAATGTTTTTCCATGACGGAAGTGATAGGTGCTTGGCCACGTGCTCTGTCTCCATCGTAATTCAGAGTAGAAGGTGGAAACACACCTGCCCGCAAGGCCTCGCTGTCTTCTGCAGAAACACCTTAACACTTGGGCGTACAGGCACTTCTCTGTGCCGTCCCTACGAAATACGATGCGCTCCCCGATGGCTTGTGGCTTGACAGCTGTCTTGCTTTCTTGCTTTCTTGCCACAGGACACATGTGCTCACTGGAAGGACAAAGAAGAGAGGGAAAGTGAGAAATCACCCCCTAGTGGGGATGGCCACTCTGTAATCACTTCTCCGTTCTCCACTCAGGGTTTTGGGCATGCATGTACACGCACCCGGCGTGAGTTTAAGCCACCGGGTCCAGGACTCGAACCATGATCAGCCCTTTGGAAGTTCATTGCCTTAACCACCATACCACCTGCTGGTTCTGAGAGCTTTTTTTTTTTTTTTTTTTGATGTCTTTCATAATTTGTTTCATTAAATACTTCCCAATATAATTTCCCCCCAATATTATTTTGTAAAAATGTTGAAGTACAAGGACCAGCAGATGATGTGGTTAAAGTGCTGGATTCCCACATCTCTGACCATGATTCAGTCCTGACCTGGCAGCTGCTTTCTCTCTGTCTGTCTGACTGTTTCTCTCTGGCTTTCTCTGGTGAGCACATGTGCCCAGTGTGAATTTTAAGCTCATGGGTCCAGGACTTGAACCGTAGTCAATTACGTGGGAGTCCAGAGACATAATCATTATGCCATCTGTTGGTCCCAAGAGCAGTCAATTTTTAAATATTTATTTCGGACCAGCCAGTGATGTGGTTAAGGAGACTGAATGCCACATGGCCGACCGTGTGGTTCAAGTCCTGGACCTGGCAGCTTTAAACCTACACTGGGTGTATGTGTGTATATGCCCAGAACCCCGAAAGGAGAGATGGAGGGGGAGGATTGCAGTGCGATTGTGTCCTGTTAGGAGTGCCTCTCACTTCCTCTCTGGCGAGTGCACACGTGCTCAAGCAGGTTACAAACTATGTCTGTTTTGTGATTCACTCTCAGTGAATCTCATTCCCATCGTTTTTACCCTCATCGCTTATTTTATTACATTTTGCCAGAGGTGCATGTACTTGCCGGAGAGACACAGAGAGCGGGAGAGTGGGAAAGCGCCCACTGCAATCCCGTCTTTTCCATTCTCCTGTCAGGGTTTCAGTCACATACATGCGCCCAACATGATTTTCAAGTCACCGAGTCCGGGACTTGAACCACAGAGTTGGCCACGTGGAACCCATCTGCCTTAACCACCACACCACTTAGCTAACCCTCAACATTTTATTATGAAGTTTTCAAACACAAAAGTTGAAGGGACCAGCAGGTGGTGTGGTAGTTAGAGTGCTGGACTCCCACACGCATGGCCACGGTTCGAGTCCTGGACCTGGCACGTGTATGTGCATGCCCAAAGTCCTGGGAGGAGAATGAAGGGACTGCAGCATGGCCATCCCCCCGGGGGAGATCTCTCACTTTCCCTCTCACGATCTCTCTCTTTCTCTCTCCAGTGAGCACACGTGTCCTATTACAAAAGTCTAAAAAAGAAAGTTGGAACATTTTACGATGAGCACCCAGATCCCCACTGCCAGACCCCATCACAGACATTCCCTGCCCTTGCTCTGTTTTGCACGTTCCCTCCGTCTCCTCCCTGGGTGCGTTTCCAGCTTCCAAGTTGCAGACACCAGGGCAGTTCACACACACACCCATGCACTTCAGCCTGCGTTCACTAGCCGGTGGCCGACCTGCTCGTGTTTCCTCTGTTCTTTGAAATGAAGCGTACATGTCACGAATGCACACATCTTGTGGGTACTGTGTGGTGAGTTCCCGGTGTAATCTTAGTGACTGCAAAGCTTGCGTGCTAACGGCCAGTCCCACGCCGCCAGCCCATCCCCGTGGTGGGCACTCGGGCTGTTTCCTGGCTTTGCTGTGAGCATCAGTGACGAACATCCTTGTGTCGTCTTCGCTCACATCCAGGATCGTGCTTGCCAGCCATGGTTCCTGGAAAGAGAAGCGTCGGGCTGGAGAACACCCTCATTCCTAGTTTTCCTAGGGCCTCTGGTGGGGGTGTCCCGTCCCCCACTCCGCGCCAGCATGACTCCCGGTGCTCATCAGCTCTCACCCTCTCGCCCTCAGCTGCACAGAAGCTCTGCCGCCTCCTGGGGCTGGGGGTGACCGATTTCTCCCGAGCCCTGCTGACCCCCCGCATCAAAGTTGGCCGGGACTACGTGCAGAAGGCCCAGACCAAGGAGCAGGTAGGCACGGGCAGGCGCGGCGCCCTGCCCGGCTCTCCTCGCGCTCTGCCCTGCGCACACTTGCTGACGGCCCGCCTGGGTCCTGGCTCCGGCCTGGGTGGGGAGTCAGTGCAGTAACCGAGGCAAAGCCGGCCGTGGCGCTCGGGCTGCGCAGGGAAGTGATGGAGCAAAGATGAACAAGCAGGGCCTGTGGACTGCGATGCCTTCCATGAAGGGGTCTGGGCGGTCGGGGCCGGGGAGGAAGGTCCGAAGGTGGAAGACTGGCCGGGGACAGCGAGTGGAGAGGCCCCGGGCTGGGCTGGCTTGGTGAGAGGGAGCTTTGAGGTCCGCGAGGCTGGGGACTGAGGGGCAGGGTGGCTGAAGGCTCTCAGAGATGTGAGCAGGGCCAGATCACACGAGGCCTTTGGGACCACGATGAGGAGTGAAGTGAGTGGCATTCAGGTTTTGAGCCAGGGACGGCTGGGCTCGGTGACTTTTCTGCAGAGTCCCTTGGCTGCTGCGTGGAGATGGGCCGGGCACCAGTAGAGGCTGTGCAGGCGGCAGGGGCACCCAGCGCAGGGTGGTGGCAGAGGGTGGGGAAGTGTGGGCACAGCCGGGGAGGTTGTGAGTGCAGCTTTGGACAGAGGCTTGTACTGGCCCACGCGGGCTGCCATCACAGTGCCAGGATGAAGCCCACGCCGTGGAGGGCGAGTTAGTCACACTGACCCCGGTTCCACTCTCAGCTTGGGTACTTCTGTTTGTCCCCATTTTGCAGATGAAGGAACTGAGGCACAGAGAGGTTTTTTTTTTTTTTTTTTTTTTTTTAGAGGTTTTTGCTATAGGGCGCATCCGCTCGCCAGACAGAGAGAGACATAGAGACAGAAAGCGAGAAATCACCCCCCAGGGGGGATGGCCACGACGTAATCCCTTCTCCTCCATTCTCCTCTCGGGATCTTGGGCACGCACACACACGCGCCCGGCGTGAGTTCTAAGCCACCGGGTCCAGGATATGAACCGCGGTCGACTACGTGGGAGTCCAGTGACACAGCCATTACGCTAACTGCTGGTTCCCACAGAGAGGTTATTCTGACGCCTGGGGTCACACAGCCTCTCAGTGGTAGAGCTGGCTCTGGAGTAGACTCTGTTAGCCACTGTGCTGTGGAAATGGGCTGGCAGCTGTGGGCTTTGGGGAGCTCGCACGGTATCTGCACACAGTGGGGCTTCAAGATCGCCATCTGTCCCTGTGCTCACTGTCCGTGACCTTTCCAGTGAAGCCTCCGCACGGTAGACTGTGAGGGGTCCATGCTCCGACCCTCCCTCCCCGCCCTGTCCACACCCGGCGACTCCTGCCAGCCGAGGTGCGGCCGATCCTGATCGTGCCCTCCCGCAGGCGGACTTTGCGCTGGAGGCCCTGGCCAAGGCCACCTACGAGCGCCTCTTCCGCTGGCTGGTGCTGCGCCTCAACCGAGCTCTGGACCGCAGCCCCCGCCAGGGCGCCTCCTTCCTGGGCATCCTGGACATCGCAGGCTTCGAGATCTTCCAGGTCTGCCCCTGTGCCAGGATGGGCAGTCAGGGCTCCAGTGCCCACGTGGGCCCTGTTCTCTCTCTGGGTCTCTTCCCTCTGTACCTCTGTTCCCTCTCTTTTTTTCCCCCTCTCTGGGTCTTTCTCTATCTCCGTGTCTCTCCCCTCTCTGGGTCTCTGTTCCCTCTGTGTCTCTCCCCTCTCTGGGTTCTCCCCTCTCTGTTTCCCCCTCCCTGGGCCTTCACCCTCTGTGTGTCTCCCCTTCTCTGGGTCTCTCCATTTCTGTCTCACCCCCTCTCCCTGGATCTTCCACTCCCTGGATCTCTCCCTCTCTTTCTCCCCCCATTCCTGGATCTTCCCCTCCCCAGGTGTCCCCTGCCCTGTGC